TACTAACAGGTAGGACAGTTCATAACTGAATAATAATCATTTTAGTTATGAATTAAAATAATTTGGTCACTCCTATCACCTCTGTTGGTTGGTAACTATGATCAGGTGGCAGGAAAAAGCAATTCTTTCCCTGAAACGAACAACCAATAATCATATCAGCAACATGAACTGGCTCAGAAAGAATTTGTTGAGAGACAAAAGTCATAGGATACTACTAAGTCTTGTAATCTGGGGGACGCCAGGGTTCAAGCCTTCCTGGACCCTACCACATACTAAAAGTATAGCAGTCAAGATGATATTTACAAAATGAGACAGACTGTCACAGTGCTTTTACTGTCATGCATCAAAACATATGATTGTGAAAACACTGTTGTACTTACTGGGTCTAATCTGTACAACTCTTTCAAAATATTTAGGTGGGAGAAAACCTTGTTCATTTCCAGGGCAGAGGATCACGTTGTTGGATGATCTGTAAAACTTGAAGCCATCTGAGCAGAAAGAAAAACCACAGAGTTTTCTAGCTATGGAAGAGCCACTTTACTATAAAGCAACTGCATAAAATTCTGAAAACTAATAATAACCAGGTTATGTTGGCATGGTGGCATGTCAGGCAGCCCCAACACAAAAAGAGGTAGATTTCATTTGACAAAATACTGTAGTACTGTTATGGGTGATCTGTAAATAATCAAAATGAAACCTGTATTTGAAAAAGTTCATATTTTAAGTTACTTACCACTAAGGGCCTTTTTGAGATCAATAAACACCACAACTTCACAGCTTGATCGCATTCCTAGGGTCGAGAAAAAAAAGCATCTGCATCACAAAGCTCAGGGTGACCCATGATGGACTAGCAAATTGATTCCCATCAAGGGCATGGTACCTACAGTTCTGTAGCATATAATCACCAGTCACTTTGTGCTTTTGAAACTGGGCATGCAACATACAAAGAAGGTCAGGTCCTATCCTGTGGCGGGGTTACTCTGACCCATATATAAGCTGTATGGGTATGTGCTGCTGTGAAGGGTATGGTTTTCAGGTAGTTTAGTCTGGGATAGTGCATAGAAATCAGAATGGAGAATAGCTAGTCTGAGATCATGGTCTAGTATAGGATAAGGTTTTCAGTGATCCAGCATAACATCCCTATCTCCTACAGAGTACCACCGGGGATCTTATATCCTTAAGGGCTAGTGGATTTTGCAGTCAGGATAGTAAATTCTGTCCTTCACTTGCCCAAAGGGTGAGGAAAGTGTCTTGGGAAAATTTTTTGGAGGAAAATCCAATTTCAGAAGTGCTGAGAGAGGGGAAATTATTTTTAGGGTAATTGAGAATGACCTTTCAGGCTAGTACATTATAGTATATATTAGACAATTGGTTTTCTTTGCACTCCGAGATGTTCTAGATAACATAAAAGGGTAACTTCTAAACTGACCACTGATGACACCTTCTTCTCCAGGCTCTCCAGGTGCAAAATGGATGTGATTTCTGCTCATTCGTGACAAGCCCTAAGCAGAAAAGAGCCAAATTAAACAATGTTGATACTGCTGGTATTCACAGTTTCATACACAATGGAACATCAGTGCTGATACTCTGAGCTTTCAATTGTAATTAAAACTAATCTACATGTATGTGATGCAGTACCTACCTGAGTTTTTATCGGTTCCCAACAGTCGCGATAGGTGCCATGTATGACAGTGGGTGCTTCAGAATGGTCTGTAATGGGTTCCAACTCAAGATCGTCTACCTACATGTTCATGTAGTACATGTGAATATGTACGACTCACAATAATGTATTATTGATAGCAACAAATAATCAGGGTGCTATAATGTAGAACCAGATAAATTATTAACCTGCCTGAGTAAACAGCTGTCTTTTCCCGCAATCAGAACTGGAATTTTCATTTGGGGTTGAATTTCAACTGAGAGATTTACTGAGATTTACTGAGCATGTTGTTCAAAAGGGATAATGAATAAAAAATCTTATTGCACACCCATTACATTGTGTATACCTGTCCAAGGACATTGTACATACCAAATTATTCACGACTGTTGACAAACTTTACACAAGTCCCACATACATCAGTTTCAATGGACAAGACATGTTTAACACCTTTAACTGAAAAACAGTTTGACTTGACTCTGAAGATGATTTCTGCTCAGGTTAATTTACCTTGTCAAAACGAAGGTCACTGTAACTTCGACATGTTCAGAACCACTCTCGCCCAGATGATCACACTGGATGAACTTATGTACGTAACTAGACAGGTAACTAAGGTAACCAATCAGTGAGTGCTTAAGCTATGATTGGTACCAAAAAAATAAATGACGTATAATATTAACATACTGACCTCCATAGTGTGTCCTTGATTTGCTCTGATTTGAAGCCTGTCTGTTGCTGGATCATTTCTCAGAGCAAAGCGTTTCTTATCATTCTCAGCTACAACTTTTTTGACGTCATCCTCTGAATATCTTTGGAACTGTCGTAGTCTTAAAAGGTCATCCACAAAAATGAAACCTATGCAAAAAATGTAAGTACCTTTATTTGACATGTACTCACTGAAATGTAAGATTGCAATCATATTTGCTATAATAAATTAGCTTTTTTCTTTCTGTAATTACCTTGCGTCATTTGTAGTCCTTCCTTAGCTGCACCATGCCGTAGAATGTAAGAAAGAGCTTTGGACAGCTGAATATTGTGGTTGCTCTGCAAGACATTGATATAAATATTCATGGTTACCTCCCTCACAGTTGGGATTTTTTGCGAGACCCTCCAACCCATCTAGAAATTCCAATTATTCTTCATACATTTCTTTAAATGTTTTGGTCTTACAGAGCCCCCATCTCCCAGGAAATTCCAATCCCTTCTGTGAGGGGAGTATGGATATTTTCTGGAACTGTACTTTTTTAACAATTATTATAATTATTACTGATAGCTGACAGCAACATGGTGACTTTTTCCACTGACCTCAGCCTGATTTGGAGCAAAATTGAATATCATGTCAGTAAGGACAACTTACTTTTGCCCCTACGTTCAGCTCTTATATTTTTGTGTCCCTAGATCTGTTGAGATAAGAACTAAATTCCTCTTAGTGAAAAGAACTAATTTCTGTTTTTTTAAGGAACATGTTGTACACACAGTATGGTGTAATGTAGTTTACAAACAACTTCCACTCATTGGCCCACTGGTTGGGTAATGGTGTGGCCTGCACCCTACCCAGCCCCTAACAACCTGACCCCTGCAGCTGGTGACCCCTGGGGGTGAATACGCCGTGAATCTTTGAGTGGGGATGTGCCACTGGGACACTGAAGCCCTTACCTAATACTAGACCAATATCAGCCTGATTTTGCAGCCCTATTCTAGACTAGGGCCTAACAACCCCTACCCTATCCACGCCCCCCCCTCCCCCCTGCCCCCCGGGGGTAACTAAGGAAATTTACCAACCATGTCCTCAGCTTCTCCATCAAATTTGCACTCACTGGCCTAATAAACCTAGATTGATTCAATTACACTTGTGAGCTACAACATTTACTTCTAAGCTTAAAAAGAGCTCGATTTGTATTAATTTAACCTTAACGAAAGGCCTGTTCAGGAACTTGAGCACGGGCTTGAGCTTACCTTTTGCGAATTGTTCGCGCTAGCGGCACTTTGCTGACTTCTTCTACCGCTCATTTTACTTCTACGTCTTTCAAGTACCGAAAATTGAGCTGTATAGAATCTAGTTAGTAATGCTCACGATTCCGCTGAAATGAAGATTGCACCATCACCTGTCACAGCATTGCACCGCCAATTTCGGTCAGTCAAAATTGTATGCGTACGAGCGATACTTGGCACCAGACTCCCACTTCTCAGTAGACTGGTCACGCAACGCTGTACTTCTCCGCGCGCAAGCCGGAGTTGCGTTACGCTAGCCAAAAAGAAATCGGCCAAATGTAATTTTACTGTTTTCTAACTGGATTCGAACAGAATTGGGACTCATTGTACCATTTCTGTAATTTACCAGTGCAAAAAGAACAAAGAGAAAGAAAGACGGTGTTTCAAGGGCGCGGGAAGAAGAGACGTTGTTGTGATTGGCTCGTTATGTGTTTCATCCTCTGTAATCGTTCTCACTTGGTTAGTTATGATCATTTCTGTGAACACCACCACTGTAATCTCCTCCATTTCCATGCATCCTCCTTTACCAAAATAGGTCTAGAAATAATGTTATTAAATTGTCAAAATTCTAGAACGCCTTGGCAAGGCTTGCTGATCAGGAATATCTGTCTCCAGGGCCGTAGCCAGTGAGGGAAACCGAGGCACTTGTCTCAGTCATTTTAATCGTTTCTGTACTTTCTTATTCGAAGAGGAAAGTTAAAAAAAAAAGCTGCTAAATACCTATAGGAAGAGAATTTCACCATGGACATTGCCTCAGTCCGAACGCGAGAGAGCGGCGGAAATCGAGCTTAGCTAAGGCCCTGATCTCTCGCTTTGCTTCTTCGATTAAGTCCAACAGTGCAGAGCGCGAGCTGGGCGCGATGGAAAGATAGCATTGTTCCTGTCTGAGATTTTGTTATAATCGTGAAGTTTGTTTGTTTGTTTTGCTTTGCTGTTGAGGTGCGGCAAGATGACACAGCTCAACCTAACCGTTTATTTCAGTAACAGTCACTCTATTAGACTGGAGCTTTGTGGAAAGTTATTTCAAATTCTCAGCTACTATTTTGACAAGATATGGGAAGGTAACGGCTATATGATATAAGGCAAGCCAGAGAATTATCAAGATGTTTTATTTCCTAAGTTACCGGTGATGTTTCATTACAAATTCAATTTACAACATGTTTACCTCTTCAAAAAATAACTGAATCTCAAGTGCTATTGACTAATAGATATTACTAGCTTTTTTATCTCTACGTTTACTTCTTACGTGGAAAGTAGCTGTCCTGCAGTCTGGGACATCGTTGATATAAGCCCCATAAATTATTCGTTTCTTATTGCAGCTACGAGCTCTGTGAGTTTGCCCCCATGGTTTTTCGTTTTCTCTTTAGCAAGAGATATTCTCTTACGAAGCTAATAGATGTATAATTATTCTTGAGAAAATATTTCAAAATAAAATTCGGTGGAATCGGCTTGGATGTTCATTTCATTTCATGAGTTTTGGCAGTGTATTAAACGAACTTAAATAATAATTTAATTAACAGCCCAAAACCTCGGTTTCATATATTAGGTGAAAATTCAGAAAGATACTTTTGAGTGAAAAACAGAGAGTTTGGGTACCTTAATTAAAAGAAATTTTGATAAGTAGTTTTTCAAAAGGCACATACTTTAGCCTTTCAAAAACTTCTTAACGCTCTCTACATATATTCCCCAACTGCTTAAATGCTACTAAGTGAATCTACATTAGAATACACATCCAACGATTCTGCAAATGCAGCTTGGCTTTTCTTTCTAGCGGCAAATCACCACAAACTTCCGAAGCTCTCCGAAGATGAGCCGAATGACTACGATCGGCCTACGAGAGCGATATACACTGGAATCAACTAAGAGGTTCGATGTCCACCAACAGGTCTCCTGCTTCTAAGGTCTGGTTCAATTTGACGGAGATTTTATTGACAGTGCCGTCGATGGGAGCACTCACGTTGGTCTCCATCTTCATGGCGCTAAGCACGACCAGTGGGGAGCCCTTCTTCACGACCTCCTTCTCCTTGACCCGGATGCCGACAACTTTTCCCGGCATGGGAGCTCCCACCGAGCCTTTGACCGACTTGTCTGCTTTGGGATGTCGCGCGAGTGTCTGTGGAATTTAAGAACAGGAGTCAATGCTGAGATAATTTTGAAACACATACTGCGTGCGAGAAAGTAAGCCAAATATTCAGTACAGAGCGGTTTTCACTTAAGCGTTGAAAAGTAATTAGTTTTGCATCACTGCGCAAAACGTTTGGCTCAAAAAACTCGCGCCACTTTTTCATCCAGTCAAAGGTAAAACCAAAACCAAACGTGACGCGCTCGCACAAGTTTTCCCGCGCTGCTACATGTATCTGCTTCAAGCTCTGATTGGTTCATTGGATTGTCTGTGTCCTTTGTGATTGGCTAGAGTAACTACTTTGGTTTTGGTTTTACGACACCAGTTGAAACCGCTCTATATGTTAATAAATTATAAAGCGTTCATAAAACTAAATACCTTAGTGACAGACTTATCCTCCACCATCACCGTCCTCAGCTGTCCGTTCATCTCACAGAAAACTTCTCTTTGTCCATTGGGGTGCAAATTACTGATTGCCAAAACTTTAATGTTCAACACTTTACCAGGCTCGATGGCCACCTGGAACTCCTCGCCAATCTCAGGGCCAGTGAAGAAGAGCCTGGTGGGCAGCCCATCGACTGGACCAAACTCGTCCCGGAACATCATGTAATCATTAAATACTTTGGGGTACAAAGCAGCGCTAAGGACGTCTTCATCTCGGATGGCACCCTCACCTGTGAAACCAAGATAACCATTAAAGTTTACCGAGCTGCTATCTAACGATGCCGGAGTCCAAAACGATACGATTCCATTCGATTCCAATTCAAGACTAGCGGGTATAATCGTATCGTTGAACAACTTGTTGAGGAGATCTGGTATAAGGCTTGCAAGTAATTGTGTTGGTGATGAGTGGGGGAGGGGGCAAGTACCATTCCACTGTAACGGTATTTTTGGCGATCTGTTACGCAAAGTATAGTTTTTTAGCAGTGTCCCCTAATTAGTATGGTGTTTTTATTCCCAAGCTATAAGGTTTTTTGACACTTTAATAAAGTTCTCACTCACTCACTCGCAAGAACTAACTACGACAATCGATATTTAGTGATGGATTACTAAGAAAATTGTCAACAAAGAACAGAAAAAAGTTGAAGCAAAATGAACGGCACAAAAGTGACGGTTCCAACTGAAGTTTCATAGCAGCCTTTTTCCGAGAACAGACAATTTACACCAAACGTAAATAAGATGAACCCTCTAGATGAAATTCGGGGACCAAAAAGAAAAATTTCCGTTCCGAATTTTCAAGTTTCCTTTATCCCACAATTCACAGTACAAGGAATAACATAAGAAAAGTAGAGATTAGTCTACTTAGCGCCAGACCTGACCAAAGCACATAGTAAATAAATACTAAAGTTTTTGATCTTACCAAAATCTTCCTGTAGTTTCGCTTTCAGTG